CACCGCCGCGGCAGCCCGGGCACGCCGACCATGACTGTCAGAAACGCGTGATTCGGGGTAGAAAATAGCCGCGGCGTGCGTGGCCAATGCGCTGCTCCACGCCGCGGTGCGCTCGCCGTGCGCTCGCCCGGCCACAGGAGGCTGCCGCGGGGGCCGCGAGGAGGAGGTGGACCCCAGCCTGTTGCGCCGCGCGCCCGCCCTGCGCCGCCCCTCAGAACCACGACCTGTGCATCGGAGGTGCGATACCTGCCAGGGTGGTGAGTCGTCTTGCTCGGACTTCCTCGGTTTGGTCCACGGCGGTATCCACAGGGGTTGCTGTAACCGCGACAGAGCGCCGCCGGCTGACACCCGCACATCTGCAAGCAAGTAAAGGCATTATAGGTAAAATTCCATAAAACAAGTTCGGCGAAATGTCGTATTGCATAGTGATAGGCAAGGCCAGCGCCGTCGTAGCGGATGTGCAAAGTAGGTTTTGCCTACCCTCATTAACCACACCATGTCGTCAGACGCCTAATGGCTCCAAGCAAGAGCAAGGGCCACTTTCCTCTAACCTGCATGTAAGGTGGGTGATGACTTTAGTCACCGATTTCAAATATTTGCAGAGAAATGCTTCCGGTGAGCGTGCATATGCCATCACATTTTCCCGCTGTCATAAACTACTTCTATTTCCCCCGACAAGAGCCGTTCAGCCGCCTCCTGGTGCTGCTTTGCTGCAGCTTGGCGGCGCGAGCGCAGCTCGGGTCGGTCCACCCCGTGATTCACAGCAGACTCGTTCGTTGTTGCCCCGGTACCGAGCCGGGCAGCGCGCGCAGCTCTCTTTCCGCACGCAGGTTTCGTTACAAATGAGGTCCGTGCGACGCCGCGCCGCGCCACCCGACGTGCTTTATGTCTCATTCTTCGCGTGAAGGGCTCGGGACCCACGCGGCCAGCAGCGGCGGGGCCCGTCTATGGGGAGTAAAGTCCTCGCCCGTCGCTATCAATATAGCCTACCGCGGGGACGCAGCGGAACGGTTGCGCGCCCGCGGGCGCTGACCGGGAGAGCGTGGGCGGCAGCAGCACCAGAGGTGGCCGTCGTGTGCCAGATCTCCGCGGATCCGTTGCGGAAGGCCGCGCGCGGAAGACACTTATCGGACGCACCCCGTCGGCGCCGGGCTGGACCGAGGTGGTCGTCGGCGCCGGGCTGGACCGAGGTGGTCGTCGGCGCCGGGCTGGACCGAGGTGGCCGTCGGGGGCGCGCTGGGCCGAGGTGGCCGTCGGCGCGGTGACACGGCGGCGCATTGTTCAGCAGGCAGGCCGGCCGGGTGCGCCCGCTGGTACGGCGCCGGCCTCTGCTCATTAAACCTGTCCTCCCCGCGATGGAATGAGCGAGTGACCTTTCAAAACCGTTGGCCGAATTTACGGCGCCGTTCGCTCCTACAAATCAGGTACACCGCGAGCAGCGCGCCGGGGCAGCTGAGCTGCGGCCGCGCGCGGGTGTAAACGTACAACACTTTCGCTGTGCTGCGCGGTCCCCGCGGGCCTCTCAGGGCCCTGGCGAAACTCCAGAGTAAAGCGACAGGCTGTTGTCGCAGTTGAAGGGAGCCTCAAGCAGGCCAGGCGGCAGGCGGCGGCAGCGTACACACGCTTATTAATTCTTTGGCGAAAATGAATAAGTGCCCGCGGGGTCGGCGGGGCGGTCCGTCGCACGCTGACGCCTCGCCTTGCATTGTTGTTGTTGTAGCTGCCGCGGTGCAGTTGTGCACCACATCATAAATCTGCCGGCACGACGGTATTCCAGAATCACACTGCCACTTGCCACTTCCTCCTGCCAACGGGTCTCCAGATTAATTAATTCTTGCCCGCCCCGCCGCGGGGCACTGGCCGCGATCGCACAGCACAAGACGACTCGCGGTTGTTGTAAGCAATTGTACATTGTAATTTCCCCCCGCTCGCGTCTACACGGAACAGCCCGCAAGTCCCTTTGCCGTGAGCGCGATTGTGTTATTTTCACCATGCATTCAAAATACAAAAGAGATAGGAGTTAAGGAGAAAAGATAACAGGGAAGAGGGGGAAAAAGGGAGAGGAATATGCGAAATTGTCAAGTTTTATTTATCTGCCGACCACAGTTTTTTTTTCTTTTCCCGCATCGTGAGCATCGCGGCGAGCGAGCGAGCGTCGCGTCGCCAAGCGCATTAGAGGGGCACTTGTTATTAATTATAAACCACATGAATGATTTAAAGGCGCGTTAGTTTGCGCGTTCCGCCACCGCCGCCTTATCGCGGCGCCTCCGAACGGCAGGCGAACGGGGCGGGGCGGCGCGCGTTTCGTTAGCTCATTGCTTCGCGACAGCGCGTGTGAGTGTGAGAGCGCGCACATGTGAGTGTGTGCGGGCGTGTGTGTGTGTGTGTGTTTTGCTCTACTAGTACTGCTACTACCTCCTCTCGGTGATATCCGAGTGTCCCGGCGCCATTTTTTAAGTGCAGATCGGCCCCGGATAAGAAGGGGAGGCTTGCTTTCGTCGCGAGTGAAACTGGATACCAGTAAAGTGGTCTTGCTGCTGCTGCTGCTGCTGCTGCTGCAGATCAGAGGCCCAGCCCGCGCGACACCCCCTCCCTCCCCTCTCCCCCTCCCGTCCGGCTCGACAAGCTGTCGGTTCGATCGAGCTCGCTGATTCCCCCGATACCTTGTAACTTGATTTATCATCGGACGTTTAGGCCGATCCGCCGCGACGTGCAGGGCGGCAACGGGGAGGGTTGAGGGTCACTTTCACACGTCACTTTAGGGCCACTTAGTGCCACTTACGTGGTCCAGCCACCGCACCTGACCCGCCGTTGTAGGAGGCTCATGAACACCCTGAAGCAAAACATAAACGCCACTTCGGCGTCGCCCCGCACCTGCCCCCGACAACCTGCCCCCCCCCCCTTCTTCCCAGGTTGCACATCGAACATCAGGCGCACGGCTAAGTTCAACTTTAAGAAAGGGTTCAGACATTCGCATGGTAAGTGTAAATGAATACACGCCCCAAATGGTTGCTTGATTCGCGTGTTTCGGTCACTAAATCGTACATCGTGGTTTCAGTGTATGCACTACAATAGCGGCTTACTGGACAAGTGGGAGGCAATAGAGTTCTTAAACGGGCTC